TAGTAAATAATTGTTCTTCCCGCGACAACATTTTTTCCTGAGTCATGCATCCCATTAGTGTCAAGGAGGCGAGGGGAGAGAGGGGAGGTGATGAGGGGAGAGAGGGGAGTGATGAACGGAGAGAGGGGAGGTGATGAAGGGAGAGAGGGGAGGTGATGAAGGGAGAGAGGGGAGGTGATGAAGGGAGAGAGGGGAGGTGATGAGGGGAGAGGGGATGATGAGGGAGGAGGGTGATGAACGGAGAGAGAGGTGGGAAAGGGAAAGATAATGAGGGGAGCGAGGGAGAGAGATGAGTGAGGAAAAAGAGGAGAGAAGAGCGTTGAGGTAAGGGAAAGTCTCTCTCTCTCTCTCTCTCTCTCTCTCTCACAACGAGCTAACAGACATATCGACGTGCAGGTTATCACTGTCAATCATAAGAGGTAACTGACGCTCTGGGCCCCTATCCTTCAAGACCCCAACTAACCGAACCTTCAGGACTAAGGACTTACATTAAGTCCTATTGGGCCCCTAGTCTTCATGGGACCCAAATCCTAGTAACACCTTATCTTCTGAGGTCTAATGGTTGTATTACGTTGGGGTCATGTAGAACTGGGGTCTAATAGGACTGGGGCCCATTTAATCACCACCCATTGCACTACTAGTTACGACCTATGCTTAATACATATATTAAATAACACAAATCACCAGTCAAATAATAATAATAATAAAAATAATAATAATAATAATAAAAATAATAATAATAACAATAATAATAATAATAATAATAATAATAATAATAATAATAATAATAATAATAACAATAATAATAATAATAAAAATAATAATAATAGCACATAAAAACTATGAACAACAAAACTAGCACAAGACAAGAGACAAACAAATGAAAAAACCTTTAGATGGCAATACTTGAAGAGCATTACCAGGGATAGAATAAATAATATAGACAAAAGGCAATAAAGAGGGAGGAAAATGTAAGTAAATAACATATAAAAACGAAATAGACACGAAAGAGAGTATGAGTATAATAAGCGATATTCTTTAGTTTTATATTTCTTAACAGTTTAAGTGACGTGAACTTATACAGTCAAAGCTGCATCAATCCCATTCATCCACAATAATAATAATCTAATTAATTCCTCCCTGTCTCATAATAATATTTTTAATTATTATTACGATACAGTTAAACGATAAATTGTATTATGCTCGAGTAATTAGTAATGATTATAATTGTCTTGTTTATCGAATTACTATAATGTTTCAGTGTTATATATCAGTATTGTGTTGATATAAGTTCATACTCACTAATGAGATATGCTAATGAGCTTTGTTGATAATGAAATGTTAATGAGAACAATAAACAGACCTTTATCTTGTTCTAAATGTTGTTTCCTAAAATAATCCTTTAATTAGTGTAATATTTATACTGTAATGATAAAATTATATATAAACTACATCACACACGTCATCAACAGTGTACTCTTCAAGGCACCCAATCTACTTCCTTTTGATCTCAAAGGCAGAAAATTGCACATCAACAGGAAAATAGGTACAAAGGTGACCTTATTTCACCTGATAATTAAAGACTCAAATATTAACTCACTTTTCTAACCTAACCTAACCTAACGTAACCTACCCTAACGTAATCTGACGTAATCTAATCTAACCCGACATAACGTAACGTAACGTAAAGTAGCGTAACGTAACGTAACGTAGCCTAACCTAACCTTACCTACTTGATAATTAAATGCCCTAACGGTAGGTGGGAAGGTTAAGATAGGTTAGGTTAAGTTAGGTTGGGTTAGACTTGCGTTACGTTGGGTTTAGTTAACGTTAGGTTTAGTTAAAATCAAGTCAGAGTTAGGTTTGGTTAGATTTGGTTAGATTTAGGTTAGGATTGGTTAGGTTCGGACTGAGTTTATGTTTGGTTATGAGTTATTAAGGATGTCACCTTCATTGGTGAGTTTTGAGGTGACTAAAGAGGCCGATACGGGACCGGCAGAGTTGTTCACAGATGTTGCACATGTGGAGGGCTACATCTAGTGCGGGAGGGGCAGTGGTAGTGTCTTTCCGGCGTTGGTGTTTGTGTCTGCAGTTTGGATTAATGTTGAATTGTATTTGTGTTTATGTTGATGTTTCTGTGTTTATGTTGATGTTTCTGTGTTTATGTTGATGTTTTTGTGTTTATGTTGATGATTTTGTGTTTATGTTGATGTTTTTGTGTTTATGTTGATGTTTTTGTGTTTATGTTGGTGTATTTGTGTTTATGTTGGTGTATTTGTGTTTATGTTGATGTTTCTGTGTTTATGTTGGTGTTTTTGTGTTTATGTTGATGTTTTTGTGTTTATGTTGGTGAATTTGTGTTTATGTTGATGTTTTTGTGTTTATGTTGATGTTTTTGTGTTTATGTTGGTGTTTTTGTGTTTATGTTGATGTTTTTGTGTTTATGTTGATGTTTTTGTGTTTATGTTGATGTTTTTGTGTTTATGTTGATGTTTTTGTGTTTATGTTGGTGTTTTTGTGTTTATGTTGATTTTTTTGTGTTTATGTTGATGTTTTTGTGTTTATGTTGATGTTTTTGTGTTTATGTTGATTTTTTTGTGTTTATGTTGATGTTTTTGTGTTTATGTTGATGTTTTTGTGTTTATGTTGATGTTTTTGTGTTTATGTTGATGTTTTTGTGTTTATGTTGATGTTTTTGTGTTTATGTTAGTGTTTTGTGTTTATGTTGGTGTTTTGTGTTTATGTTGATGTTTTTGTGTTTATGTTGGTGTTTTTGTGTTTATGTTGATTTTTTTGTGTTTATGTTGATGTTTTTGTGTTTATGTTGATGTTTTTGTGTTTATGTTGATTTTTTTGTGTTTATGTTGATGTTTTTGTGTTTATGTTGATGTTTTTGTGTTTATGTTGATGTTTTTGTGTTTATGTTGATGTTTTTGTGTTTATGTTGATGTTTTTGTGTTTATGTTGATGTTTTTGTGTTTATGTTGATGTTTTTGTGTTAACAGTCAATAAACAAGTGTGAGGTGACGATCCTTACTCCTACCCGGACTACAACCTAACCTAACCTAACCTAACCTAACCTAACTTTATCCACGAATATTCATGACAAGCTCTGGGTAATATCCCGGTTGTAAAGATCTATCAGTCATGCTGCGAGACGAGAAGAGGAGTGGAAGAGGAGGTGAAGAGGTGTGGAAGAGGAGTGGAAGAGGTGTGGAAGAGGTGTGGAAGATGTGTGGAGACGTGAGCCTTAAATTACTCAAAGAAATTAGATAACTTCTCAAGCGGGCACCTGCAAAAGATCTGAGCAAATTGGTAAACTTGTGGGATCCAAGAGAAAGTTAGCTCGAGAAAGTGAGAGAACGTGAGAGAAAGAAGAGAGAGTAGAGCCATAGACTTGACCATGAAGGTGCGTTAGTGAGGCGGTGGGCGAGGGTGGTATGGAAAGAAAATCTCAGGCTCCAACTACAGGTGTCTTTCCTCTACACCACTGCCCACCCTCCCTGCCTCCTGACCTACCTGCCTCCTTCCCTGCCTCCTGACCTACCTGCCTCCTTCCTGCCTCCCCCTGCCTTCCTCCCTACCTCCTGCCCTGCCTCCATCCTCCTGCCTCCCTCCTCCTGCTTCCTTCCCTGCCTCCTCCTGCTCCTCCTCCCTCCTGCCTCCTCCTTCCCTCCTCCCGCCTCCTGCTCCTCCTGCCTCCTCCTGCTCCTCCCTGCCTCCTGCCCTCCCTCCTGCCCTCCTCCTTTTCCCTCCCTCCTGCCCTCCCCTGCCTCCTGCCCTCCCTCCCTGCTCCCCCTCCTGCTCCCCCTCCCTCCTTCCTCCTCCCCTGCCCCCTCCCCTGCCCCTCCCTGCTGTTCTCCTCCTTCCCTCCCTGCCTCCCTCCCTGCCTAAAGGTTTCTATAGGTCTCCTTTTCTAACAGGATATATTTACTATCTAATTTAGTGTAGCCGTATAGAACCGAGGCCCATTAGGATATGGATTCATTAGTACAGAGGCCCAATAAGACTGGGATTAATTAAAATCTAGGGTCCATTAGGACTAACCATCACAACTAGGGCCCATTAGGTCAGGGATCACAAGGTATGGGGTCCATTACGCCCACGTATGACTGCCTGGCGTATGAGGAGAAGAAGAAGAAGAAGAAGAAGATCATACTGTTGAATAACTGATAACAAAAAGAGTAAATGAAAAACAAGAAATCAAAACAACGAGATGAATTCAAACGCTCAAAAGTGAATTAAAGCAGAAGGAAGTCAAATTAAATACGTATGTGAATTCAAAACAAGATAGATAAATTTATGAGGAAGTCAACAAGCACGACAAAGTTAAAACATCAACAGTGAATGAGAACCGTAAGAAAGACTCAGAAAAGATGGGAGGAAGTTAAAACAGAAGTCAAAATATGCAAAAAAGGGTGACAGAATCTCCAATACGAATGCAAAATAAACAAGAGGAAGTCAAAACAGAAAAAAAGACAGAGAATAAGTTTGTGAGGAATATAAAATCCCAAGAAGAAGTCAAGAACCAAGACCAAGAGAAATTCAAAAGGCAAAGAAATATAAATGTCAAGAGGAAGACAAGATACCAAAGATGAAGTAAAAAATCGAAGATGAAGTCAAAAGAACAAGACAAAAAAGATAGGAAAAATTATGTGGAAGTCAAAATAACAAGAAGACAAAGGAAGAATTGGAAGTCAAAATATTAAAACAAATAAAAAAACACATATAGCCTGCAAAGAAATGCGTACATAAGCGTCCTGAAACTTTTCAAAATACGCACATAGGAAAGATGAATTATACAAATACGCACATGAGAGACTCCTGAATAACGAAAACCCGCTCCAGGAGACTACTAAATCACGAAATCATATGTTCGAAGATTACCAAATCACGAAATCATTATTTATGAGATTACTAAACAACGTAAACATGATCTACGACATAACTAAATAACTAAAATATACTCTAGGAGAATACTGAGTCACGAAAACACTCACATAGGAGATCATAGGGAGATTGAACGCCGCCGCCATTCGTGCCTCGTGAACACAGGTCTCCTGGGGACCGATGTAAGCGGAGATGTTGGAGATCCACAGTTGGGCCGTCTGTAGGATACTCATCTCCTCCTGCCCGTAGGTCTCCGCCACCGTGAAGTTAAGGATGTGTCCGTCTACCAGAGGAAAGGCTGAGTTGACCTAGGAGACCGGGAGAGAGAAAAACAGGGGTTAGTTCATTGTGAGGGAGGGAGATAATTGACCTAGGAGACCGGGAGAGAGATAAAGACAGACAGACAGACGAACATATACGGAGAGAGAGAGAGACCACCCGCCAGCAGTAGAAATATGACATGACACACTGGAAGGATAGAGAAGTCAATAATGTTGATGGAACTTGTTGTGTATAGTAGTGTGAGGATGGGAGGGAGGGATGGGAAGGGAGGATGGGAGGGAGGGATGGGAGGAGGGAAAGATGGGAGGATGGGAGGGATAGGAGGGAGGGAGGGTGGATGGGAGGGAGGAGGATGGGGAGGAGAAATGCCGTATGTTTTGAGATGATAAGGCTGGCAGTTCCTGGCCTGAAGAGGTTGACAGGTGAGAAAGTTATGGGGAGTAGTTATATAATAACCAATAATTACAATTTTCTAAAATATTACACCAATCAAAACTCTAAAATAAAGCAACATTGAGGCCATTGTGAAACTGAAAGACTAACTAAACATGATATTACCGATAATTCTATTCAGCCAATTATCTCTCCAATTCCAAGTGCCAATAATCATGGTCATAGTGTGGAAATGAAGGTAAAATTGTTAATAATCACTGTAATTAAAACGGTATTCATACACAGTGTTTCCGTGTATATATGTTTAACGACAAGTGTCTCTGTATATACAAGTTCAACGACAAGTATTTCAGTATATAATTTACTCGTTTATTCACTCCTTGATGACTTGTTGCTTCATGTCCTCAGCTGGACTCACATACAAGCGATTTTACATCATACAGTTCAACCAACCTTCTGTATTCAACACGCAGCATTACACGCTTGTTGAGGGAGCCTGGAGCAACGCAACACAAACCTCACCTTAGGCTGTATGATGTTTTTAAACGAAAATATCACAAGTCCACTGTTAATACTAACTTGCTGAACATTACTTTAAAGGTGTCCCCTGTCATTGTATGCTGGGTCGCGGGGCGGGGCGGGGCAGGGCGGACGGGGCAGTTAGGGCGGGGCGGGCAGGTGGGGCAGGCTGGGTGGGTGGGTGGCGTCAGCACGAAGCATTAACACTTGTTGATACTGTCTCCTGTAGCAGGGCAGCTTATGTGTGGTAGTCACAGGATATGTTCAGTATTATTCAAGGCAGGTGTAAGAAAATTAAAATATATCTATAAGAACTTCCTCGAGTTGGTCTCTGTTATGTCCCAGACGCTGTGAAAGGTGTCCCATTGCTTTCACAGCTGCTCGACCCTCACACAGCTGCTCGACCCTCACACAGTTGCTCGACCCTCACACAGCTGCTCGACCCTCACACAGCTGCTCGACCCTCACACAGTTGCTCGACCCTCACACAGCTGCTCGACCCTCACACAGCTACTCGACCCTGCACAGCTGAAGCCCTCACACGCTGCTCGACCCTCACACAGCTGCTCGACCCTCACACAGTTGCTCGACCCTCACACAGCTGCTCGACCCTCACACAGCTGCTCGACCCTCACACAGCTGCTCGACCCTCACACAGCTGCTCGACCCTCACACAGCTGCTCGACCCTCACACAGCTGCTCGACCCTCATCATTAACCCATAGCCCCAGGAGGAGAATATAACTCATTCTTGGGCCACCCGGGCAGCATTTCCCTCTGATATTTGTGATTGATTTCTTCCGCTAAACGTCTTTCATTTATCAATAGTTTAATCATCCATAGAAACTAGATTCACAAAGGAGAATAACTCGTGATATCACCTAATAAAGACTTCCTCGAGCTGCTACATACAACGTAAAGTGTGTATCAGTCATACAGCCCCTGAGCTCTCCCGCTGACAGACTGGGGTAGATAGTACTGATATTTTGTATTTTCCATAACTTCCATGACAGGTTAGTGTTAGGATGGTGTGTGTGTGTGTGATGCTGTAACTACTGTCAACCATCCTTCCATCCTTCCTGGGCGACACATTTTTACACCATCATGTAAACAACTTTCTCCTGCACAGTGAGTGAAAAAAAGTTCTGTTCTTTATCACCCGGAGGAAACACAGATGAGGGCACGGAGAAGAATTCGTAGATGAACTGAGGGAGGGATTAATTTGGTTAGGTTAGGTTAGATTTGGTTGGGTTAAGTTAGGTTATATTAGGTTAGGTTGGGTTAGGTTAGGTTAGGTTAGGTTAGGTTAGGTTAGGTTAGGTTAGGTTGGGTTAAGTTAGGTTATATTAGGTTAGGTTGGGTTACAGTTAGGTTCGATTCGGTTAAGATACATTTGGTTAGGTTAGGTTAGGTAAGGCGAGGTTGATTTAGACTTAGGTTAGGTTTGATTCGGTAAAGCTAAGTTTGGTTAAGCTAGGTTTGGTTAAGCTAGGTATGGTTAAGCTAGGTTTGGTTAAGCTAGGTTTGGTTAAGCTAGGTTTGATTAAGCTAGGTTTGGTTAAGCTAGGTTTGGTTAGATTAGGTTTGTTTTGGTTAGCAATAGGGTGTTTAATCAATTGACATCAGCTGGGGTCTCTAATTTCCGTATGATCCTTTCAAATTTACGACCAATGACCAAATAAATATATTATCATCACTACGCCACAACTACCCTCTAAACGCATCACATAAACAAATAGATACAAACCCACCGATAAATTAAGACTTTATTCATCCATAACATAATTATCCAGATGAATTTGTTTTGATTGCATTACCATTTACGAAGTTTAATGGGATTTGCAATGAACTTATCACACTCTGTATATACCAGCCCTGTCTAGAACTGCTTATACCAGCCTTGTCTAAAACTGCTTATACCAGCCTTGTCTAAAACTGCTTATACCAGCCTTGTCTAAAACTGCTTATACCAGCCTTGTCTAAAACTGCTTATACCAGCCTTGTCTAAAACTGCTTATACCAGCCTTGTCTAAAGCTGTCCATACCAGCCTTGTCTAAAGCTGTCCATACCAGCCTTGTCTAAACCTGCTTATACCAGCCTTGTCTAAAACTGCTTATACCAGCCTTGTCTAAAGCTGTCCATACCAGCCTTGTCTAAACCTGCTTATACCAGCCTTGTCTAAAACTGCTTATACCAGCCTTGTCTAAAGCTGTCCATACCAGCCTTGTCAAAAACTGCTTATACCAGCCTTGTCTAAAACTGCTTATACCAGCTTTGTCTAAAACTGCTTATACCAACTATTATGTCTTAAACTGGAGCGCGATGGTTGAGTGGATACTACACTCCCCTCCTGTTCTAGGGCTCTCCCAGTTCACCCAGCTGTAAATGGGTACCTAAGTTTACAATTTGGGAAGTGAAGGCGGTCGAGTGCAGTACCGGCCATGCTGCCTCCTTGTGTACCGAGGTAAGGTTAGGTTAGGTTAACATTACAGGAATTAATCTTAAGGTGAAACTGACTGGGGTCGAATTTTCTGTTGATCCAAAATATCTCAAAGACGCTCAAAACAACATACATCAGTCCGGTCAGGAAGGATGATGGTCGAGCTCTGTTGAGGGAGAGAAATGTGGGGGAAGTGGGAGAGAAGGAAGTGGAGGAGGAGGAGGGAGGAAGAGGACAGGGAGAAGGATGAAAAGAGGAAGGGGAGGATGGAGGTGACAGATGATGGAGGGAAGAGGAGGGGGAGGAGGGGAAAAGGAATGGAGAAAGATGGGGGATGGAGGAGGATGAAGATGAAGATCGAGAATAGAAGATGGAGGAGGAAGTAAAGGGTGAGAAAGATGGGGGATGGAGGATGAAGGATGGAGATGATGGAGGGAAGAAGAGGAAGGGAAGGATGGAGGAGGAAAAAGATCGAGGATGGAGGAGGAAGAAGAGGAGGATGGAGGAGGAAGAAGAGGAGGATGGAGGATGGGGGAGGAAGAAGAGGAGGATGGAGGATGGGGGAGACTAATATGTTGTGGGTTTGTTTTTAATTTGACCCAACAGCTGGTCCTGGAGCGAGTGATAGAGGCAGGACACCCTTGTTGACGCTGGTGACTGATGGCCGACACACACACACACACACACACACACACACACACACACACACACACACACACACACACACACACACACACACACACACACACACACACACACACACACACACACACACACACACACACACACACACACACACACACACGGATGCTTTTGTATGAAGTTGAAAAAATATCAGTTCCTGATTTTGTATTACACACTACACAAAACAATCTCTCTCTCTCTCTCTCTCTCTCTCTCTCTCTCTCTCTCTCTCTGGTTGGTTGTGTTCAGGAAAACCTTTGCCTCGACAAAGAAAAAAAGAACCATTCACTGAAAATAGGATCATTTTCACTCCAGGTAGGGAGTACAAACAGAGTGTGTGTGTGTGTGTGTGTGTGTGTGTGTGTGTGTGTGTGTGTGTGTGTATAAAACATGAAACCTGGTAGTATAATATTTTATTTTTCTATTTTCTTCTCTATCATGCAAAAGCTAAATCACCTTAATTCAACGTGACAGTGTGTGTGCCGACCTTCCTCATCACACGGGCATTCACCAACTCCACCTCACCAAACCGTGTTGATTTAGTGGTCTTGAAATTTCGTGGAATTTTGCTTTTAGAAAAATTTCGAAACTCCCGGAGATTAACCTTACCTCTGAGAGTATTATCACCTAAAGATTACCCATCCTAGAGCTGCTTGTTAGGTTAGGTTAGGATAGGTTAGGTTAGGTTAGGTTAGGTTAGGATAGGTTAGTAAAAAACACTATGATAAGAGAATGAAAGGCAACATTTTTCCCTTACCTAGAATAAAACAAATTAAATATGATTAATTATACCTTAAATACCTATTAAGTTAAGAGTAAAGAGTTAAAATTCCTCTTAGTTTTAATGAAGTCTTTGTCTAGTGTAGTGAACAAAGACCTAATGAATAACGCTTAAAGACCTTACATATTGAAGGTGTATTATATAACGAAGTCTTCAGAAACGGTGCAAAAAGACTCCATTAGTTAAACCTATATAAAACAAAGACCTAA